CTTTCCCTATGCTTGACTTTGCTTTTTGCTTGGCCTTTCTTGGATTTAGGGAACCTTTCATCTTCTTTGGTTTCAACAACTGATTATCTTGTTCATTTGACATTTGCTTGTGTTGTATTAAACCTGAGGCTTCATTTTCATCTGCAGTCTTATTTATTGAGGGTGCTTTACAGGTTGCTTTGTTTGTTTCATGCTGTTTACCATCTCTGTGGTTTAAAGAGAGTCTGAAGTCAAAATACAATGGATTACAGCCATATGAAATACAGGGCTCCGTTTTTGTAAACAAAAGTAATTCTGTGGGCCACTGCAGAGCCGTGGTGCCATCTTTGCTCACTACATGGAGGAAAGGCGATGCCTGGGGCTTAGAATCTTTAACCATTCTCTTCCTTGGAAGTGTTTCTATATTCCTATTTGTGGTTTCTGAGTTCTCCAAAGATCTTTCTCTTTTTTCCACCCCAAGATTGCTATTAATACTTCTTGTGCATGCCAGCTGAGCTTCTCGCTGTTGTTGAAGCTCAAGTAACTGGTCAGACAGGTGGGCATTGCTGTGCTTGTAGATGTTTGGCTGTGTACAAAAGTTGCTACCTTGGCATGAAGGTGAAATGAGAGTTTCAAATACTTGCTCAGACTCATTCAATTTGCTCTCTTGCTCTGTTTCTCTATGTAAGCCAGAAAAATCCAAATGTGAAAGCTGTATTTTGACTTTAGAAAATAAAGGATTAGCACCAACCTTTTCTTCTAATTCTCTATCACTACTTTTATAGTTTTCCTTTAGCATTTTAGGTTTTATAGCTACGCGACTTGATGCACAGTTATCCAAATCCATTTGGTCTTGTGTAATAGGTGGCCCTTTATCTAAGCTTGCTTTCATGTCCTCCTCCAAAAGTGTTCCAGAACAATAGCCATCAACATTTTGCTTTGTTTTAGGGTTGGGGGAGTCACTACAATCATTTCCTTCTTCAGAATTCTCACTGAAGACTGATGCCGAGGACTCAAGCTTCGAAGGGACCTTTTTGGAGAATGAAAAAGACACTCCTGCCCTTTGAGAAATATTGGTGTTGTCTGGGAACACTTGTGAGGCTTGATTTCTGAGGGTATGGGGTCTTCCAGGAGGGGACTGATGCCTGCTTTTGATAAGCTGCTGTTTCTCTACTAAGCTGCTGGAGAAATCTAGTCCTTCACTTGTGGCAATTCTTTGAGAACTGGCTGCGAACTTGTTGCTTTTGTACAGGAAAATTCCATCTGGTGATTGCTGCTTTTCCATGACTAATCTGGGGACTTTAAGCAGTGGTCCATTCCCAGTGATGCTGTAAGGTAAAAAAGGAAAAAAACAAAAAAGAAGGGAAAAAAAAAAAAAAAAAAAAGAAGAAGAAGAAAAGAAATCTGTATTTAGTAAACAATTGAAGATAGAACTCACATTTGACAATATCTGTCTGGTAAAGAAGGTTATCACTCATGCTAGTTTGAAGGGAAAACTGAATTTGAAAAGTTTCTAAAGGGTAAATGTGCAGCCCTGAGCTTGGGCATATATATGGGCAAGAAAGCACTTAAATGTAGGAAATTGTTTGACTGAAGTCAGCACATGAATGTTAATTTTCAAAGGTATACCCATGTATGCTCAGAATAAAGAATATCGGTTTTACTCTGAATTTCTATCAAGGAGAATCTGGTCTATGGTAAGTCTTGGTTTTCTGAGAGGCCACTGCAAAGGCAATTGTGTGGTGTTCAAAACATCTGCAGAATCAAACCCTATAAAAGGTAGAGTTTCTTGCTTGGAGGCAGTGTATGTATGATTTTTAAGAGTAGATTTTTATTTTATCTTTCTATTATTCCACAATAAATGACTTAGTGAAATATTCAGAGGGATATTAATACTAAAACTAACCCCAAAAATTAGTGGGGAAGAGGACATAAGGTGTATTTCCATCAATATCAATGGCAACTTAATTGCTCTAATTATCAATCACCATTTGACTTTGCCATGTTTTCTCTTTCTGTATTCTACTTTTAGTAATTACACTTCTCTTACCAAACCTCTCAGATTTTAAATATGTAGTTTAGCTTTCTTGTACTTAAAAAATAAATCAACATATTCTAACAAGACCTTAACAAACATGATAAATCATTGATTTCTGGCAATTCGTAATTAACTGAGATTGGTGTAAGTGTTGCCATATTCCATTAGAGATGAGAGAAATATAGCCACAATACAAACCTTATTCCAAGTAGTATTTTAAACATATATTTCATTAAACCTTTATCCATGTTTGCTATTAATGCAGTACCACAGCATACTTACATAAAAAAAAAATTAGAAACAGCTTCAGTAAAGAGTTGATTAAAAATTACAAAATACTTTAATTAAACTTAAGTAAATAATGACTGCCCGATCTGCATAACATCTATCTATAAATAGGCTAACATGTTTTATAAATGCTATAAAAATGTATTGAACTTCAGTGGTGGGAAAGACATAAAGACTCCCTGGTGTACATTCATCTTGGAGCATGAGAATATGTATGCATTTCTGAAAATATATTTGCGTTTGCTACAAATTTGGCATCAGGAGATACAAATTCACCCCTATTTTTACATCGAGAAGGAATTATCTTTTGGAGAAGGGATTCTTTTCTAAGTTTCATCAGAACAGAAACTGAAACTGCATTTTCTGTTTTCTTGTGCACAAAAGTAACAGTAATTTTCTTGTCAAATTGTATTAGCTTGTTGTGAGGAACTTTGTTGGAACCTGAGTTATAGCACTCAGGGACAGTAATAATTGTGTGTGTGCATAGACTTTTGCTTATAAAAGCTGACTTTCTGTCTTGGCTGAGCGATTGGGAATGTTACCCCTCTGCCAAGATCATGGCTCTCAGCCACCCCTGCAGCTACTAATTATTACAAACAGGAACAGCAAGCACTGTCTTTCCAGGCTCTTTGTAAAGGATTATGGATTCCAGGCTCTTTCTAAAAGCAACCTTGCTTTTTCCCTCCCAGTCTCACTCTTGCTTTCCTATTATCACTGACCTTATCAGTCTAGCTGAGGCTACATCTTCAAGTCTGTGGCCATAAAGGCATCTTCCCACAGGCAGTTACATTTCTTTCAGCAGATTTGTATGAAAATGGAGTTGTAACCATAAAAATGATGCATTAGCACTAAATTTCAGCAGATTACTCAAAAGCAATTACATAGGCCAAAATGAGTGTATAATAAACTCTGAATGTTATTATTTCCAGGGTACAGTAAGCTAGATATGAATTTAAATGAATGCCAGTTTAATTATCTACTTAACTCATTATGGTCATAGATTAATATAAACAATTGGTCTGGTAGCAATCTATTTTACCGAAGCATTCAGTGTCATTAAACAAAAGAGATTTCTCAAATGTAAGGGTTTATTAGTGCAAACTCTGTAGTGTATCTTCATATTCATCAAGAGAGCTAACAGTATTGGACAAGTTTAACTCAGTTAATTACTTGTTTTTCAGTCACATAATAATATTTCCATTACTCTACAGGGGAACAGCCAGAATAATTTTAGTATACTGAAGGTAGTGAAAAAGCTTCACAGACAGTGTGGATGCTGTAAAAGGTGTTTTTCCTCTCCCATTCACCAACTAGCAAATGATAAGACAGTTATACTAATCTATTCAGATCAATTTGAATAAGGTTAAATGATGATATTATAAAAATGTCTTCAAACCATTCAGTCCAGAAGACATGAGATTAACTAGCTACAGGAGAGAAAACCACAAAACTTCAAATAGCAGATAATTAATGTGGGGGCTTTCAGTGTTATGGTTTGCAGAACAGGAACATTTGGAGTTGGGGAGAGCTGAAAACAGGTTACAGTATACGCAATCTCTGTACTTTAAAGAGTGCAGGAGTAAAAATATAAAGATTTCTTCTGGGACTGAAGAAAGAGGGCATTAAAACTTAATATAAATTTTAAATACTTGCCATTCTGACTGCTTCCGTAACTCTGCAAGCTGGTGGAGTCGCTTGAGTGCTTTTTCCTGTTTCTTCTCATCTTTCCATGACTTTGAAGCCACATTTCGAGCAAATTCTCTTTGTTTTAAATCTTTCAATCTCTGTGCGAGAAGAACAAAAAAGAGAAAGGACTAAATAAGTACGTAGTGGATGCATTTCCTCTTACTGAATCTATTTGCTTTTGTTGAAGTTAGTATGTAGATGGAAAATAAATATATACTTAAAATGCCATCATCTTAAGAAGAGATTGAAAATGCTATTTTTACCTAATGAAACAATATGATTGGGCCACCACTATTTAGGTGATGTATACCTAAATATGAAAAATATCAATGACAGTTTTTAGTTCCTCATGAATACACAAATCTTCTCTTGTGTACAGAGACATACGCAAAACTAGATTCTATGTAATGTAATTTAAATTGTCGTGTTTTATTCAGTCAGCTGGAATTTAATCCATAGCCATGTACAGGAATAAAGCAGAGCTGATGTATATAACATATTGTATAGATCTCTATAGTTACACGTATTCATGGATGTAAGTGTGCTTCTGTTTTGGTTTTGTATTTTTTTAAGACTGCATTTGTTTTTCAAAGGAGACAACTACAGTCTAATGTATATGCCCAGGAGACTCCTTTATGGTTATTTTCACAAGTTAATTTAATTTTTAATATCTTCCAAAATCTGCAGCTCAGGTATATGAAGCCATCTAGCCATGGCACAGAGCTCTGCACAGGCCAGCAGGCATCTGTGTTTGAGAAATAGGCAGAGAGTGCTCAAGTTCTAGTGGTCAAGGGAATGATGAATGCATGAAAGAGACCTGATTTCTAGAGAGAGGTCTAGTGTTCGTCAGTAGATGAAGACAAAGTGAATAGGTAAAAACCACTGTGTGGTTGCTTTATGCAATCTAAGGAGATGGTGACTTCTTTTTTCTCAAGCTAAAATGAAGTCATCCAGTTAGTGACATAATATGACAGAGAAGAATGGATGAACCACTGGTGGAAACATGACATTCAAGGTCTGTGATTATGTTCTGTGAAGAGTGTGGGAAAGCTGTAATGACTGTCTCCCACTACTGTCACATTAGCTGTCCTTCAAGTACAGGGTTTTTTGAAAAGCCAGATAACATCTGTGAATGAAAAATACGTAAGTACTGGGAGATAAGGAATGTAAGTTTCTTATTTGCTCTCAGCCTTCTGGACCCCAAGACGTGTCTCTGAGCACTAATCTGTAAGTAGGGATAGCTGGGCTGCCCACTGTCACGATCCGTGACCTATTATATCTCCTTATTGGAGTGTATTAACTTATCAGGATTTGCTGAGAGATCCACACGTGGGTATCGCCTCACACAGAGGATACAGGAACTTATGTCCCGACTTTTTTGAGTGAATAACCTGCTCAGTGCTTACTAATATTTCTAACAACAGCAAGGTTTATTGTGGGGAAAACAAAGCAATTTGGGGCAGGAGGTTCAAAAGGAGTGATTACAACACATTAAACATATATGGGTACACCTTAGTTACACATCTTATTCAAGTGAGGGAAGAAGAAGGGAGGGATATACCCAAATGGCTGGATTATATTTTCCCCTATAAGCTGGGGTAGCCGGAATTGTCTCACCACGCGGCAGTGCAGGTAGGATGAGCTGGGTAGCAAAGAGGCTGCGGGCACTCCAAGCGCAGGTCGCCCCCCCCCACCCCCGTAGCTGCGGCACAGCTGTTTGCAGACCCTGGAAACGCGGCGGTTTCAGGCGGCGCTGGGACTTTTGGCAGCAGCGGCGGCGGGCAGGCAAGCGGCAGAGGCGGGCGGCTCCCAGCAGCGGGGACGGGCGGCAGCGAGCAGCAGAGCGGTCAGGAAAAATGGCGGCGGCAGGCAGTGTGTGTAGACGACCGCCTCGAACACGAGGAGAGAGCGAGA